AGAGAGAGAGAGAGAGAGAGAGAGAGAGCACTAACAAAAACAAGCTGAGCAGTACACAGAGACAACACAAACAGACAACACTGTAACCTTCATCATGGCATATTGAAAAATCTATAACTTATAACAAATACAACATTGTAATCATCGTTGGGACATATTGAGAAATCTACAATAAATATGAAGAAATTGTAACTAATATCAGGTCATACTGGAAAATCTATCTTAACCCATTTGAGCACTAGCCACGGGTACACCTGTGAGCGAGACCCTACCCAACCCGGCCCATCTGGGACAAAACGCACACAGGAAACCAAGTTTACTACAGAGGATGCTATAGATTATTTTGAAGATCTTTCTAAAATTAGATGACGTGATAATGACGGGGACTACCCTGAGCAATGTGATTCTGACAATCACACGAATGTTAGTAATCAGGAGCTCAGGCAGAGTGGCATGGTAGCCTCAGGAGGTCAGGACTCAAAGGGTTTATACAACACTGTATTTATCATAAATCATTAATAAATACAACACTGTAACTGTAATTTTCATGAATCTAAAATAAAAACAACGCTGTGATCATCATAAATCTATTATAAATACAACGCTGTAACCATCATAAATCTATAATAAACATATCACTGTAATCATCATAAATCTATAAGCAATTTATCACTGTAATCATCATAAATCTATTATTAAAACAACACTGTAATTACCACAAATCTGTCGTAAAATACACCACTGTTATCAACATCAGGTCACACTGACAACTGCACATTTCAACCAAAAGCCGAGACAAAGCAGAAGGAAATTTACAAAATACCTGGCTTTTCATTCCTTTGAGAATCTGTAGTGAAGTCTACTTTACCTGAAAAACAAAAGAACCCAAGACATAATAATGCAGCACAATTATGTGGAAATGAAACTTGGAAGCTCATTCAGTCACAGCAGGTAGAACATGTTCTTAGCTGTCTGTTCCTCTCTGTCCATCAAACTGTATTTATTTAAGCCAATGGTTTCTCTATCCCTGTGTGTATCTATCAGTTTGTATCTATCAGAATTGCATTTAAAAAAGCTTGACGTGTGTGAAACACAAAATTCTTTAACGTCAAATTCCTTTTAAAAAACAGGTGCTGAGCAGATAATATTTTGTTTCTAAGGTAGCGCTATATCTATCAGTTTGTATTTTATCAGCCTATATCTGTGAATCTGGGTCTATCAGGGTGTGTCTGTGCATCGGTATCCACATACAAACCTCCTAACACAGCAGCGAGGTGGGAGAGAACAAACAGAATCTGCCGGACGTACAGCAAGTTTTTGGCCTTCAAACGTGACCGGAACTTCTTCTCGTACTGACTCAGCTGAGAGTGGGCTTTGAAGATCTGGAGATGAGAAGAGATGAGATGAGATAAAATGAGATAAGATGAGAGAAGATGAGATGAGATAGGGTGAGATGAGATAAGATATAAGTTCAGAATTAGATGAGATGAGATAAGAAAAGATAAGATGTATTATTTTCATTTCAAATTTTCAACATCAAGAACAAAATAAATCTGACAACAATACAACATGTCACATCTGATGCATCACTCAGACCACTCCATTAGCAAGGATTTATCACAGATTTTGAAAATTCTATCGATAACTTCGTATAATATAGTATGTGCATAAGAATAAATGATAAAAGGTGCTCATCATATAGTTTTTTAAAGAAAAAATGAAGGTGTTTTCCACTCCCATCTACTCAATTTAGATTACTCAGTGTTGTCAGGGCCAACCGGAGCTGAGAGGGACACAACATTCTAGCAGAAAAACAGAGATGCTGTATATATGCATTATGACGTGTTGGAACCAGGCGTTCGTCAATTTTTGGGCATGTGGAGTTATTGGTATCATCTTAAAGCTAGTTCATTTTTTTTCCTTTCCATGAAAAAATACAAATTTATCTTGAATAGAAGTCGAGATATTCACAATTGAACCAAGTGGGGGTCGCCCGGTTTCAAAGGTAAAATTAGCAAGAAAATGGCCGCCAAAGTTTGGTGACTTCAAAAGCTTGAGAGTTCTTGGAAACTGTAAATTTACAGTTTTTGTGTCTTTAATCAGTGCTTTTAAATAAAAGTCACATAGCAAATTGTTTTTAAATGGACATAAAAGTACTGAGCCAAAAACAAAAAATTCGATAAAAATAGCCAAGGGGGAAGAAAAATGCCGCTTTCTTCGGTTTCATTATCTTCATGGGCGCCTGATTTCACCACGCTGCCTCACATATGATAAAAATTTTCTCCCCATTAAGGTATCAAGCTCTGGTCTGCTGCATTCCACAGTGAAGCACCTAGTTGCTACATCACAGACGCTAGTATCACATAGATACAAATAATGATAATAATAACAATAATAATAATAATAATAACTATCATAAATAGCATTTGTCCCTCTACAGCAAGCTCTATGTGCTTTACAGTATATATCATTACCGCAGCAGACCATAGAACACACAGAAATATTCACAGCGTCCTGGGAAACATACAGTGCAAGGGGTAAATGACTAAGGGTAAATGACTAAGGAAGACGAGGTAAGTACAAAAGTAGCCTACCTGAGTGGCTGTGATCTCCACACTGTGGATGTTGTTGATGGTCTCCAGCAGGTTGTGAGCCTCGTCGATGACGACAATACTGCCGGCCAGACGGATGCCGCACGCCTCGCGTGTCGACTTGTGCAGCAGTGTGTTGTAGGGGAGGGCCACGATCTGTGGACGGGCGCAGGAGAGAGAGATGAGGTGGGTCAATAAGGCTCATACAGATAGGAGAGAGATGAGGTGGGTCAATACGGCTCATACAGATAGAGAGATAGGGTGGGTCAATACGGCTCATACAGATAAGAGAGAGATGGGGCGGGTAAATTAATGTGAATCATACAGATAGAGATAGAGAGATAGGGTAGGTAAATATGAATCATACAGATAGAGAGATAGGGTAGGTAAATATGAATCATACAGATAGAGAGATAGGGTAGGTAAATGTGGCTCATACAGATAGAGAGAGAAAGGAGAGGTAAACATGACTCAGATAGGAGAGAGATGGAGAAGGTAAATGTGACTCAAAGATTGAGAGATATGGTAAATAAAGGTGAATTATACAGATAGAGAGACGGGGTAGGTAAATATGACTCATACGGATAGAGAGATGGGGTAGGTAAATGTGAATCATGCAGATATGACAGAGAAAGGAGATGTCAACACGAGATCATGGGAAAAGGAGATTGTTTAGTTTTACCTGATATGAATGCACAAGAGATATACAATGAGATAGGAGTATAGGAAAAAAAAGATAAACTTAAAATATGACAAATGAAGATAGGAGATAGATAGAATCTAAGGTAAACCTGAGATATGAAAATAGGACAGATATAATATGATAAATAAATATGACTTATCAAGACAGAGGAGACAGGATAGGTAAACTTTAAACAGGTCAAATGAAGATAGGAGAAAGAGATTGGATAAATATGCATGGCATATGAAGAGAGAAGAGAGATATGAAGAGAGAACACAAGACATAAAGAGAGAAGAAAGATAGGGTATGTCAACATGGCCAAATGAAGATCGGAGAGAGGCAGGAAACATATGAAGATAGGAGAGAGACGCGGAAAGATATGAAGATATGAGAGAGGCATGGAAGATATATAGAGGGGAGAGAGACATGGAAGATATGAAGAGAGGAGAGAGCCGGGAAAGATAAGATAGGAGAGAGATATGAAGATAGGGGAGGGACATGGAAGATATAAAGATAGGATAGACATGGAAGAAATGAAGAGAGGAGACAGACGATGAAGATAGGAGAGGCAGGAAAGATATGAAGATAGGAGCGACAGGAGAGATATGAAGATAGGAGAGATAGGAGAGAGGCAGGAAAGATATGAAGATAGGAGAGAGGCAGGAAAGATATGAAGATAGGAGAGAGGCAGGAAAGATATGAAGATAGGAGAGAGGCAGGAAAGATTTCACGACCTCACAGCTTTCCTGTTGTAGGCCTATCTCCTTTTTTTTTAACATTGAAAAAGTGACTTCTTCTTAAGCTCACTCTTCATTTTGTTTTAGCTGCATAAAGTCATTTGAGCCCCAAGGGGTGGATGTTAACAGAGAAGTCCTTACTGGGAATCAAGACTTCCTCTGCTCACCTCTCTAGCTTCAACAGCACAAAGTCTGCTTCGACTGTCAAGGCACCCTGGAAATAGCGGGTCACAAGAATGTGACAAACAATCAAAAGAAGTAGAGAAAAATGATGATAGTAAGGATTAGGAAAGAAAAAGCAGCAGTTCCCTGTCGTAGTTGTAGTTCAGGCACAGTTATGAGCATGACATTATTGTTGGATCAGCCCATTTACAATTCTACTGTGCATTAGAACGAGAAATGTCCCCCTTTTGGGAATGGCAGGCCTAAAAACACTTCAGCCAGTGGTACCGCCCTGGGGGGGGGGGGGAGGGGGGGGGGGGGGTTAAGCTCACTCTTTGTTATGAACTATTTTCACTGTTATTAAAAATGGAGATACGACAAGAAAGCACTGGGGTCGGGATATGAAGATAGGAGAGAGATAGGAAAGACAAAACATGAAACACCAAGATAGGACAGCAGGTACACATGATTTCACAAGTTTCCACACACGTGCATCACAAGCCTCCTACCTCGGCCAAAGGCACGGCGTAGCGGGCCCCGTAGTAAGGACAGGCCTTGGTCTGTCGCCCCAGCGTCACCAGCTGCTCTATGTCCAGGGTCTCCAGCTGTCCACACACAAACACAGTTTTTGTTTGGTTTTAGTGAGAGTTTTACGGCACTTGCAACACGAAGTTATATAAGTGCCAAAGATTAGAGGAGTTGGAAGGAAGATAGTTTTAGTTTTAGTAGAGGTTTTACGGCGCTCACAACTGCATAAGGTCATATGAGCGCCAGAAGATTGGAGGTGTTACAAGAGAGTAACAAACATAAAAAAGAAGAAGGGGAGATAAGGATGATAGATGTTTCATAGGAAAGAAGAAGCAAACCACACCAGAGCACCCTCCAACCACCCACTTTAGTTTTAGTGAAAGTTTTACGGAACTTGAAACACAATAAGTCATAAAAGTACTGAAGATTTGAGGCGTTACAATAAAAATAAAAAAGGAGGGGAGATAAAGACAACAGATGTTTTTTTTTCAATTTTAGTAGAGGGTTTTACGGTGCTCGCAACTGCATAAGGTCATATGAGCGCCAGAAGATTAAAGGTATTACAAGAGAGTAACAAACATAAAAATGTTTGATAGTTGCAACACAATGAGGTCATATAAGTACCTCAAGAACACAATTTTCGTTTTGTTTTAGTGAGAGTTTTAAAGAACTTGCAACACACTAAGGTCATATAGGTGCTGAAGATAAGGGGTGTTACAAGAGAGTAACAAACACGAAAAAGAAGGAGAGATAAGGACGATTGATGTATGATAGGAAAGAAGAAGCAAACCACACCACAGCACCCTCCAACAACCCACTTTTGTTTTAGTGGAAGTTTTACGGAACTTGAAACACAATAAGTCATAGAAGTACCGAAGATTTGAGGCGTTACAACAAACATAAAGGAGGGGAGATAAAGACAATAGATGTTTGATAGCTGCAACACAATGAGGTCATATAGATACCGCATAAACCAACATTTGTTTTGTTTTAGTTTTAGTGAGAGTTTTACAGCACTTGCAACACAATAAGGTCATTTAAGTGCCAAAGATTAGAGGTGTTACAAGAGAGTAACAAACACAAAAAAGAAGGAGGGGAGATAAAGACAATAGATGTTTGACAGGAAAAAAGGAGCAAATCACACCAGAGCATCTGTCAACCGCCCACATACAAAGATAGAACCAGTCACATTGTTGCCAATAGCGCGCAATATATCGCGAGTCTACACTAAAATACAATCACATTGTGCCAGAAACAAACTAAGACAGCTGCACTGATCAAATTTGGAGGAAATAAACTACAGAGAAGGGATTCTATGACCAGCGTGCATCAACCCCACAGGACGTGTTTGAGTCCAATCCAGTAAGATGTTTCTGACAATCAAAACTAGAGTCATTTTTGCTGAATCAAAATCTTATCTTTATTCACACTGTCCTGGCCCTGAACATAACCAGGATTTTGATTCTTTTTTCCCCAAGACGATAATCCAGGAATATGATATAATTTTGTACAGAGCTTTGATGCTTCTGTTATTATATCAATATCACACTATGTACTTGATATTATATCAGGCACTGTTACCCGGGGGGCTCTCGTGGCCTAGAGGTTAAGGTGTTGGCCTCTCATTCAAAGGTCCCGGGTTCGAATCCGGGCAGCGACCGAAAAATTTTCTTCTCTAAATTTGTCTCCTTTCACCTCATTTCCTGCTCTCTAGCAATGTTCGGTTGTCTGCTTTCATCTCCTCTTTCTGCCCCCACCCCCTCACCTCCTTTGCCCACTCTTCTGGGCTCCTGATTCTTTCTGCAGCCTTTCTACTGCTACTCCTTGGCTCCTTCTTACTGCTGTCTTTCGGCCACACTCCTGATCTTCTGGTAGGAAAGATCTACACCTAGCCTTCTCGGACAAAGGCAAAAAACCTCGGAGGGCCCGTGTGCAAGTTGCGCACGTTAAAGATCCCTTGGTGGTCTAAAATCGATAAGAGTAGGCTTCGGCCGCCACCCGAGCAAAATTCAGAATTTCCTACCAACTGAAAATATTAGGTGTGTCCCGCGCGCTCATATGACCTTAAGCAGTTGCGAGCGCCGTAAAACACTTTACAAAAACAAAAAAAAAAACAGTTACCCGTTACATGGTATATTCCGGGCAGAAAGCACAAGAATAGCCACATTTTGTCAGGAACAGAAAAGGGAAAAACCGAAGCCAAAAGTACAGAGACAGCAGAAAAATAAACAATTTGAAAAGATAATTTAGCAGTTCTAAAAAAAAAAACAGGAGCCAACCACATCAGAGCACCTTGGCTTGGCTTCGTTTGATAGAAAGTTTACAGCACTTGTAACATTTAACCAAAGCACTCATCAACCACCAACCGAAGTAGCAAGAGAATAGATCATCAAAGGAATAAAACCTGTAAAAAGGGAGTGCATAAAAAAATCACTCCCCTCTCTCTTCCTATCTCTAACTCACTCCCAATTAGAGAACCGACCTACATCATACACTAGCAAAGGTAAACAAGAACACAAAGAGACAGTACAAATAAAGAATTGTTTACCATCGCTCTGTCCTTAAAAGAGTGCAGAAGTTCCTGCTTGTAATGAGGGCAGCCTGGCTTTTTCTTACCTAAAATACAAAAACAGAATTGATGTCACAAGTGGCCAACGTACATTCTCTTGCCTTATATTTTAAAGCACAATTCAAATATTGGGTGCGAATTAGCCTGTGGCAATCAAGGCCGTTACTCTTGCAAAACAGAATTTCGATATATCTCAAAAGAATAAAATTGCAATGCTTAAAATCTGTGCACCCCCTTGAGAATAAACGTATAACATTCATGTGAAAGGAACACCAGTTAGCAACGGATTTTTTGTGTCCAACGCATAAATCTAGAATATTACTACACATGTAGAGAACTGCATTTCTCTTTGGCAGTGATAATATATTCTAATTTCGAAAAACAGTTAAAGTAACGCAAGCAACTCTTAATAATATATCCAAAATGAGAATGATTTCTTGAAATTTTTTCTAACCCTGACTGAGTATCCACCTTTCTTCAAGAAAATTGACTTCACTTCTATTCTATCTGCCAAAAAAACCCCAAGTGCGAACAGTTATTTGTTTTATCTGACAACATCTCCCCTCCCCCCACCCCAAGTCAAATAAGTTATCTGTTTATCTGACAACATCCCCCCTCCCCCCACCCCAAGTCAAATAAGTTATCTGTTTATCTGACAACATCCCCCCTCCCCCCACCCCAAGTCAAATAAGTTATCTGTTTATCTGACAACCCCCCCCCCCCCTCCCCCCCAGTGAAATGCGTTGTTTCTGTTTTACTTTTCTTCTGCTGTAAGTCCAAGCACTTGTCGTTCATCAGGGTCAGGGACTTGAGTTTTCTCACCACCGGGTTGATGCACATGTTCTGTGGACGCACCAAGTGAGCAGTGGATGATGGTACAGTGCTTTCTTGTCGTATGTTCATTTTTTTAAACAGTGAAAATGTGACTTCTTCTTAAGCTCACTCTTTGTTATGAACTGTTTTCACTGTTAGTAAAAATGGAGATACGACAAGAAAGCACTGAGGTTGTGAGTGGGAGGCTGGAACAAAGACTCTCTCTCTCCCTCCCTCCCGTCTCCACCCTCAAAACTCTATCTAAAGCCTTTTACTCTCCATGCCCTTCAACCTCTCTGTTTCCCAGTCTCCAATATTCCCTAAACCAGACATTAGTAGAGCCTGTCTTTTTGGAGTAAACAAAAGCACATTGACACAATAATAGTCATTTAGTGCTGGGAAAAAGTAAGATGCACAGACACAAACAACAGAGCGAAAGTAAAGAAGTTGGAACTATCAGAAACAACAGAGGGAAAGTAAAGAAGTAGGAACTATCAGAAACAACAGAGGGAAAGTAAAGAAGTAGCAGCTATATATCACCCACACAGAAGGGAAGTAGAAGGAGGAGACCACACAGGGGAGACAAACAGACAGCCACAATAAATATTATATACCTGTCTTAGTTTTAATAAGAGTTTTACAGCACTTACAACACAATAAGGTCATATAGGTGCCGAAGATTCGAGGCCTTACTAGAGAGTAACAAACACAAAACAGAAGGAGGGGAGACAAGGAAGATACATCTTTTATAGGAAAGAAGGAGCAAACCACACCAGAGCACCCACCAACCATACACAAATATACCTGTCTCGACCCAAGGGAGATCACTCTGATGTCGTCATAAGGGCTTTTCACGACCTCTCTCACAAACTGAGACAACTGTGAGTGTGTGCGACTGCAGTAATAAATCTGTGGACAAAGTCGCCATATCCAAAATTAACAAGCTGAACTTGACACACACTGCACGCAGAAAAGTAGGAGAGACATAACACGTTAAAAATATATCTCTCAGTACTCAACAAATACCCCTCTTTCTCTCTCTCTGTCTCAGTCTCTCTCTCTCTCTTTGTCAGTCTCTCTCTCTCTTTCTCTTTGTCAGTCTCTCTCTCTCTTTCTCTTTGTCAGTCTCTCTCTCTCTTTCTCTTTGTCAGTCTCTCTCTCTTTCTCTTTGTCAGTCTCTCTCTCTTTCTCTTTGTCAGTCTTTCTCTCTCTCTCTCTCTATGTCAGTCCCTCTCTCTTTCTCTTTGTCAGTCTCTCTCTCTCTCTCTCTCTCTTTGTCAGTCTCTCTCTAAGTCTCTCTCTCTCTCCCTCTGTGAATAGAATAGAAAGTCATTGTCAGCACAGGAGTAGCCCTCCTGTTGTACATTAGTTTAAAGCCCAAAGACAAAAACTAAAATAATGAAGGTGTGATAGAAACACTTGTTTCCAAAACAAAAAAAAGTGTGTGTGTGTGTGTGTGTGTGGGG